TTCCCTTGCTCCCGGGGCCCTTGCCACATCCCTAATCCACTCGCTTTGGCTTCACCGCCCATTCCTGTCCTCCTTGGTTGTCCATGTCCGATTGTTTGACCACCAACCTATGCTTAATGGCCCAGTCGGTACCTCCCTTCCAGGGGTTCGTCCAGGAGCATCTTCTCTCCCTCGTTGGCCCATCTGGTTTTGACGTCCTGGCCATGCTTTGGCTCCCCCCCCCTTCTTTGATCACCGCAACCTCCCGTTGCGTATCAGTGCACCGAAATTCTAGATTGTCTTACCTCACACTGATTTACCTCACACCAATTTTGGAGAGATAAGTGTTTTGGAGAATATTGCCGCTATGGTCAACGCCATCGGCAACCCGTGGGCCCTGGTGGGCAATTTTAACTTCGTCTGCGACCCTATAGTGCAGAAAAATGACAACTTCAATGGCCACCGACGCCCTCACTTCAATGATTAGATCAACACCACTGCTCTAGTCAAGCTACCTTTGTTCGTCTGCCTCAAAACTTGGTGAAATCAGTAGCCCCCCGCCCCCTACTCGTGAAGATGGATATGTTCCTTGTAAACAAGGATTGGTGCTCGATCAAGCCAAACTCTGCCATCACCTCCATTCCGCCCCTTGCCTTCGGCCACATCCCTATGATCCCCACCACTACTATGGTGGTTCCATGTGCTACCATCTTCAGGTTCAGTGAATAATAAGCTGGGTACCTTGTGTTTCAACGTGGTTGTCTCTGCTGCCACTACAACCACTTTGGCAGAGTCCATGACCTACAGCGGACCAATTTTCTTACCTCGATGTCATCGTGAAGAACTGACACATCAAGGCCCTTTTCCTTGACCGCCTGGAGGAGAGACATGCTCTCTCTGACCCAAAGTTGCTCTTGCGCTCTCCCTCATGCAACACTCCCTTGCCCTCCATGAACACCGCTCTGTGGATTTTTGGTGGTAGAGGAGCAAGATCTATTTTTGCAAGTTTGGGGATGAGAAATCAAACTTCTTAATGCCCATGTGTCAGCTTTATTCCACAAAAATCAGACTGCCTTCCTCGATCGTAACGGAGTCAAGCACCGCGCCCATCATGACACGACATGCACCTTTCATAACCCCCCTGCTCTTCATGGCAGACACTCTCTTTGATGCCTTCCAGGCGGCGTTGCTCATGTATCTGCTCTCTGCCTCCAAGCTCAAGGCCGGCCTATGACTACGCGAGGCCTTACGTGTTTGGTTCAATTTTTCTCAAGCATGCATAGGGGTTCTTTGTCCCCGATGTTATCACCCTCGCAAAATGGTTCCACAATCATGAGGCTTATTATCCGGCATCAACATATCCTTCATTGCCCTCCCACGCAAGGTGGATGCTCCCATCTCTCTGGAAACTTTCTGTCACATTTTGTTTCAATGCCGCCCTCGAAGATGTCGCCGTGAGTCATGATGTCTCACCGGGAGCCTCTCATCTCTTTCCTTGTGCATTTTAAGCAGACATGCTTTCTGGGTAGACGTGGAATGTTTGAAAATTTCATCCTCACAGCAGAGATCGCCCAATACTTCCAGAAGCATGGTGCGCTGGAAGTGGTGCTCAAGATTCACTTCAAAAAAGTGCTCAGTTCCATTTCCTGGGTGGCACCTGGTCACCCTTCCTGCTGGCGATGGTGGGTTTAGGACCTCAACAGATTGAGCCGGTCCACAGTCGTCCTCAAATGGTCTCACGGGCAATTGGATCGCCTACTGAAACGGTATTCATCAAGGGATCACGTGTCCCCTACCTCTTCATCCTAGTTGTGTATGTTCTCAAGTGCCTCTTTCTCACCATTGGTGCCAACAACGGCCACCTCCAGCCCTCGTCCCATTTGGTGGCATGCCCAGTGTTGCAATATGTGAAATACATCTTCACGGAAATCACTGGCCTCACCCTCAACTTTGATAATTGCATGTTCGTTCCTCTCAACGCTGCATCGGAAATTTCCGAACAACTAGCCTTTTGTCTTTGGTTGTCCGGTTTCCAGCTTCCTGCAATAGACTTGGTCTTCCGCCCACTTCCCTCAAGCTCCGGATCATCGACCTTGGCCCTTTCAGTGTCCGTGTAGACAAATGGCTCACTTGGTTGTATGGCACACCGCTCTCCTTGGTTGACAAGGGTAATCTTGTCGACGCCATCCTCACCACCCTACCCACCTACATCACGCAGTCGATGTAGCTTGTCAAGGGCTTGCTTGCCACCTTCGTGAAGTGATACCAGTCCATGTTCTAGTAAAATGACACTAGTGTACCTTGTGCCAAGTGCAATGTCATCTCGACGGAAATCCACGACCCTTGCCAGCGTGGCAGGCTGGGCGTGTGTGACCTACATCTACAGAATGCCTGCCTTCTCATGAAACTCCTCGCCCTCATTCATGCCTCATGTTCCATGATATGGCATGTATGGTTCAGGGAGCAATATAGGTGGTTGGACTCACGTGATCTAGGCGAATCCAATCACATGGACACTTCTACCTGTAATGCGTTACTGGTGTTGCTGCCATGTTCTCGTGACTAAACCATCTATATAGTTGGAGATGTGAAGCGCATGGCTTTCTAGAGTGACTTATGGTGTGCTGAGGATACTTTGGAGGCTCGCTTCCCTGTTCACTTCTTGCACCCTATCCCCCAAAAGCATGCATTGTGGCTATCCTCATATGTATTGAAGACCACTTGCTGCCCATTCTTTCCGCAGCCATGCGCGCCGAGCTTGCCAGCTTGCATGCCGAGTTGGGGAAGATGTCACTCTCGCCTAGGGTGTCGGACCGCTGCGTCATATGCCCCTCCAGTGCCCCATTCACAGCACATGATGTGTATCAGTTAAGCATAGGTACGCCCCTAGAAATGTAAATTCTTCTGTTGGTTTTTCCATTATCAGCGACTTCTCATCTCCACCACGGCAAAATCATTTCCAATGCAACATATGTATTTTGAAGTGGTGAAGAAACCCTGAAGCACCTGCTCAAGTCATGCATTCATACCCATTGGCCGCTGGCCATCCCTATTGCCACCACAGTGGAGGTAGTGTGCCTCGTCAGCACCCTTGACCTCTCGGATCACCCTGTCGTATACTCCATAGTCTGCCTCGCAATCCTCTAGAATATTTGGGTGAGCCGAAACGCCAAGGTGTTCCGCGATTAGCTTGCTCCCCTCTCTATTGTTGCGTGCAACATCGCCACCGATGTCCTGTTGTGTCTGTGGTGATGCTTGCGTATGATCTAAGAATTTTGGGTGCAGTGCTTCGCTTCCTTGCCCTAGTGCACCGTTCATTGCCCTGGCACCTGCTCGCTTGTCAGCATCCTAAAACCCTATAGCTCTGATGTTCTGCCATGATTACGACTAATGAAAATGTTCATTTCGGCTTTCCCCCTCACGACCTTTCAAATAAAACTCTTATTGAATATCTTCTATTTGATTAGAAGTTAAATTATTTATACGAACTACTCTAATTCTCAAATAAGGCATGTCTATGTGTTAGTCATCTCTTCTTGCAAGCCACAAGAGTCTAGTTTTTTCAAGAAGATCACCATGGAGAAAGGATTTCAATCTGAATACATTACTTCAAAGCATTACAACACTACACCCTTGACATCTCTTTTACGAGGTCACTAGTCAAGATACATAGGTCGTGACCTTACAGTACAATGCTCATGGTACCCTGTAATGAATATGCCATCCAATCGTGGAGATCAAACCGCCAAATGTGATGTATATTTGTGGAATTGGGTTACAAGGAGAGGGTGCGTTACTTGTTCGTTGCAAGCAATATATGTGATTTGAGGGCAGTTTGGGAAGATCAAGTTTTTGGCCTGCTAACTAATCAAGGTGACACACCAATTCTACTTCTTCATTTTTGGTAACGGGCTACCTCATTTTCGTAGATGAGAAACTTTTCGTCATCAAGGAGGAAGCTACATAGAAAGTATCTCATCCCCGCAATGACACATGGGCATGATGTAGGCGACATGTGCTAAAGGAGTCATGACCGCCATGACGTGGTTCACAGTGCCATCACCACTCTTGGAGGCCAACTCACTTCGGGTTACCAATGGCCTCTTGTGTGCTGATTTCAGTGGAGGTGCTACATGGCTGCTACCAAGGACCTGCTACACATGCATCAACATAACAAGTGACAAGCTCACTGATGATGTCTAGGATCATGAGCTAGATTCATCCATTTACTTGTTACTAAGCATAAGATCGAATTGCTGGAGAATTTGTACATTAGAAATTTTACTGTTCCCCTTTGTAGATTGGCTATGCTCAATTCACATCCAAAATTTTAGTTGTATATTAATGAAGGCTTGAAATTCATTGATGGCTTGGTAGTTGTGGTAGCTGTCACCAGGAGAAAATTTTGAATGCCACACATTATCTACGTTGCAATAATACAACTGGAGCTTAGATAATTGAACGCTTAACAGATAACAAGGTCATGAACGTGCAACATGGTCGTGAGGTCATGGTTGTGCCAGCCTATGGCGTCAATGGGATCGCAGACGTGCGACACCGCGGTGGGAATGGCGACTAGGTGAGCACGGTGGGAGCTAGATGGATAGAGCAAACTAGCACAAGGATGATGAAAAGAGGAGATTGAGGTTTTTTCCGTGTATGTACATTAGGGGCTGAAATTTCTCATTAGGCCTTTCCAAAAGAAGAAATTTGTTTGCTATGAAAAATAGGAAAGTTCTAGATTTTCCTAATAAATCAATGGTGAGATTAGATGTGTACCGCTCTATTCCCCTAGCGGTAGGGGGATGGTAAAAAAACTCATAATAAAAGCATGTAGATGTTATAACTTTACAAATTGATAAAATTAAGGAGGGTGGAGGTTGTACATGGCAAAACACTACCTAGATGGTGAACATGGCAACCATCACCACAAGAACAATCACATGTAGTGAAGGGAGTTATTTCACATGCAAGGAATATCAAAGATAAAAAATGAAGCAAGAGCCCACACCTAGAACATGAAACTCAGTACAATGGAAGGAATATTGCCGTCGTATAGACTTGAGCTTGCACAACAACAAAAAGATGTTCTTAAAGACAAATTAGGAGCAAGAAATTTGAAAATGACGACACCCTGTGGTACTGCCCCACAATATTACTACAACAACGAGCACAAAGACCAATGTCAATGTTTGGGAACCATGCCATTAGTATCACGGGTAGAACAAGCTCATGTGTGAGCAACAAAGAACCATGCCATAGTGGAACCTGGGCATGAGTGGGAAGGTGTAGCTCCATGAGCACACCTCAAAGGAGGTTATTGATTCTATGGTGGTTCCATTGAGTTTGGCACACACACATAAGGAGTATATGAAGGGACATTCGAAATTTTATATAGTGGCAGGCATTTTGAGTTTAACTTTCTATACTTTTCTTGGGAGACTATTAGTTGTTAACAGCTAACATGATTTTTATTACCACCTTTGGGTGGTGCCATGACGTACCAGCTTCCAATACCTAAAGCAGATATCTCTTTAAGACCCATCTTCGATTCATAGATGTACCATTTTTATTAATACTTCTCCGAAAGTCTTGCAGCCATATGATTCCATTTTTAAACCATTTCTATACACACAATTCAGTTTCAAAGAATTCAATACATTTGATTCATCATGGACCCATCATTTCAAAACAAACACAATTTTCTACCATATTTTGGATGGTACAATAGGGTACTAGAAGTACAGTACATTCTCACCTAAAATAGATATCTCTTAAGGATACACCTTCTGATGGAGTACACTATTACTGTATATGAACTTTTACCCTTAACGCAGTTGCCCATATATCCATGCTCGGGGACCTATTGTACCAACACAAATAGCTTCCTCTAAAAGTATTCGATGTGATACAATAAGCATGACCCCAAATGGTTCGTACATGAGAGTCAACATTTGTTAGTACGTCAAGGAAAACCTGTACTACATTATGTCGTAAATATTTAAGTTCGTATATCTCAAGATATTACTAGTGCGGGTGATGGTTAATTACTCGCTTTTTTGTGGGGGTGATGGTTAATTACTCATGTTCCACAGCTTCTAAATGTTCCTATGACCTTGTACTCGCCTAAGTCAATATTGGCCTGATCTCCTCAGGGCAAGCCTATGCAATATCCTAGTCTTGTGCTACTTTCTTCATTGCAATGGAATTTAATAATCCAGTCTCTATCATTTGACCTTGCCATGGAAAACTTTTTGGGGTGAATGCACTTCCACTATACTATTAATCTAGTACATGCGGAACAAGTAATATACACTTATTACAACTCCCTAATAAATCAACGATGGAATTATATGTGTACCACTCAGTTCCCTACTAGTACGGGGTATGGTAAAAAAATCTCATAATAAAATCATCCAGATGTTACAACTTTACATATGGATAAAATTAAGGAGGGCCGAGGTTGTGCATGACAAAGCATTTCCTAGACGATGAGCATGGCAGCCACCACCACATGAACAATCACACGCGGTGCAGGGAGGTGCTTTGTATGTATCATCGAAGATCGAAGATCAAAGATGATGCAAGAGACCATACCTAGAACAAGAAACTCATCACAATGCAATGAATATCACCATTGGATAGTCTTAAGATTGCACAACAACAAAAATATGTTCTTGAAGGCAATATAGGAACAATAAATTTGAACATGAAGACCCCAATATTACTATATCAGTGAGCACGAAGACCAATGTCAATGCTTGGGGTTGGTGTTCCTTCCACTTGGACCCATGCCCATTAGTATCATGAGTAGCACAAGTTCATGTGTGAGCAGCAATGAACCATGCCATGGTGGAGCCTTGGCAAGAATGGGAAGGTCTAGCTCCATGAGCACACCTCAAAGGTGGTTATTAATTCTAAGGTGGTACGGTTGAGTTTGGCTCACACACATAAGGAGTATATGAAGATACATGGGAAACTCTATATAGTGGCAGACGTGTTGTGTTTGACTCTCTACTTTTGTTGGCAACTATTAGTTTGTTAACAGTTAACTGAGTTTTCTTACCACCTTTGGGTGGTGCCACGAGGTACCATCTTTCAATACCTAAATTAGATATCGCTTCAAGATTTCTCTTGGATTCATAGATGTACCATTGTTACGAATACTCTTCCGAAAGTCTTGTAGCCCATGCGATTCGACTTTTAGATCATTTCTATACAAATAATTTAGTTTCAAAGAATTCAATATATTTTATTCAGCATGGACCCATCATTTGAAAACACACATAATTTTTGACCACACTTTGGATGGTATGATAAGGTACCAGAAGTATAGTACATTCTCACCTAAAATAGATATATCTTAAGGACACACCTTCAGTTGGAGTACACTACCGTTATATATGAACTTTGAACCTTAATCTAGTTGCCCATATATCCACACTGGGAGACCCATTCTACCAACACAAGTAGCTTCCTCCAAAAGTATTCGATGTGTTATAATCAGCATGGCCCCAAATGGTTCATGCCTGAGAGTCAACATGTGTCAGTACATCGAGGAAATCTTGTAGTACATTATATCATAAAAGTTTAAGCTCATATATCTCGAGATATTACTAGGGTGTGATGGTTAATTACTCATGTTCCGTAGCTTCTACAAGTTCCTGTGATACTATACTCGCCTAAGTCAATATTGGCTTGATCTCCTCGGGGAAAACCTACACAACATCCCAGTCTTGTACTAGTATGTTCATTGCAATGGAATTTAATAATCCAATCTCTACCATGTGCCTTTCTCATGGAAAATTTTGTCAGGTGAATGCACTTCCATTGTACTACTACCGACTACATTCAGAACTAATAATATACACTTATTACAACTTCACCATCAGTTGGAATAGCAGAAGATTTGCTACCAAATTTCTCCGTCTATCACACTTCATCTACATTCCCATGGTCAAACCATGAATAAATAGATAATTCACTTCTCTTAAAACATTCAAGTCACTAGCTTCGACAAGGAGGCTCGCACATGGGAGACAATGAGCAAGTTAAATCAAATAAAAGACTAAAATATCCGAGTATTCAATCCAATGGTCTTAAAATATAATGAAGCCACTAATGTTACCAAGGCTACACTACATTGGTAACTTATGAAAGTGTCTACGACCTACAACGACAATTGCAATGACACACTTGGGGTATTCTTTGGGTACCTAACTTGATTATCCTAGCTTTCTTCATTGACAAGTATCTATCAAACCTCTACTATATGCCCCCACCTTGCCGAGGTAGTCACTATGTAATGAATACGAACTTCCTACCATATTTGGGTGGTACAATGAGGTACTAATAATATAGATATAACATATAAATAAAAATATACACCTCTTACCATACAATATATTTGAATAGACATTAAAATGGTATCAACTTTGCCCATCTATGACCTCTTCGTCACCTATATCGACAATACAAGTGACAACCTTGGAGTGAACAAAGGCAGCTTCCTTGCTTGCACCACCTTGTTCATTGACAAGCCCATCGGGGCTTCATTATATTTCGTCCAACTTTTCCACAGAAAGTGTTGGTTAGAGTAAGCTCAGTTATATACCATGTGTATGTGGTACCATGAGTTATCAACAATATACTAGCATTCACAAGAAGTGGATATCTTGTTAAGATCTACTGTTTTATAAGAATGTATACATAAATGATATGAAATCTTTCCCTTCCATCATTTTACCCCTATGTTCCAACATTTGGGACATGTCAAATCTCATGAGGAGGTTTTCCTAAAAGTACTCAACTTGTTGGCTTCAGCATGGCACCAATAGTTTGTGCATGAGAGGTGGCAAATAGCATTACATCGGATAAAGGCATGAGCACGGGATATCATATCATGGTTCACTTATATTGGGAAGTCATTTATGTTCTAGTTTACATGCCATTTTAGAACTTATTAAA